CTCATCTATAACACCACCATAACACCAAGGGGGAAATGATGTTCCCCATGTTATAACATGTTAAGAAGTAGACAGAGAAAGAAACAAAATGATTTGATTGGTTGATAAAGACAACAACCAATTAAACTTCTCGTTGCATCTTGTGCTCGTCACAACAAGATATGCCATAACATCCTCTTAACAAAAAAGGAGGGGTGGTGTTTATCTTGTTATTACTAGGTTATGAGGTGTCACATGATCAGCAAAAATAGCACTTCTTATTGCCTATAGCATATGCTCTTATATATTTCATATGTTGTATGATTATAATGTTTTTCGGTTTTCGTTCTTTTATAGTTTGAGGGAAAGAAATGTCAAATAGATGAGGAAGATATTCGTTGTGAAGGTTGTGAAAGAATCAGGAAGAAGTGGGGTTTAAGAAGTTATTTTTTGTTTGGATCTCGAGATTTGAGATGTAGAGACTTTAACCTTTTGTAATCAAAAGTCATAACTCAAATACCATAATTTTCTTATTTCTTTGTAAAATGTAGTTGGTGAGAAACTAACAATTTGATTAATTATGTGATTTGATTTCTTGTTGGGATTGTTGAAACCCTAAACGAGGGTATGCATTTGTTTTTTTTTCTTTTAAATTCTGTGGAGGATAGCTGATGTTTCTTTGAAAGTAAATTTTTGCTATTTTGTGCTTGGTAATACAGTCCGATTTGCATCTTTTTATGTCTGTTTGTGTATTAAACTAATGGTTTGCATTCTATAATAATAGTTTATAATTTAAGACCAAACTAATATTTTCCTTGCTCATATTTGGATACAAATGATATTACCAAGAAACTTTTGTTAATATTGCACAAAAAATATTTGGCTTTGTAACCTACATTTTTTTATGTCTTACGTTTATGGTGTTAGGTGTTAGTTTTATTAATGTAAATTTTTTTGTTCTTATGTTAAATAAGTTAATAAAAAGGATCGATCAGTTTTTTGCTTTTTTTAAAAATTTTCTTTTTAAATAATTGTCACCTCGAAAGAAGATAAATTTTGTAATCGGAGATTTTCGACATCTTTTGAATGTGTAAATTTGTACAAAGTAACAAAACTCTAATCTCAAAACATTTTTATTGGTGGTTTGTTTCTACTAAAACTAATGCATATGTTTTTATTTAGTTAGAATTTTTTTTAACATAACCTCTTAAAAGATTTAGATCTTAAAAATGTATATTTAAAATATTATCATAAAAGTAATATATTTAATCTCTTTTTAATTTAAAAGACCATTGTAATTGTAAATAACAATTAGCATTTATTAAAAAATATATAGTTTATGTAATTGAATGGCTTTATTTGGAAAATAACTTTGTTAATTTATATTATATTAAACAATGTACTTATTAAAGGTTCAGATAATTGAAAAGATGTAACCACTCATGTACATACTGAAAAAAAAAAAGAAGTTGCAATGCGTAGTAGACTATTTACTCTAGGGAAATGAGAACAAACTCCACTACTGCATGTCTAGGTAACATGCACACCTAGCTCCTAGCTGTAGCTGGCTAGCTAAGATAAACTAAGGTAATTGGTTTTTGGGTACTCCTATACGCACGAAGGATTCGTATATAAAGGTCAATATGACATTTGACGAGATAAAATTAATTTGTCCCTCAATTTGCAATGATTTTTCAAAATACACCCTTAATGTTTAATGTTTTATAGTATTTACTTTAAACTTTATTATTTTTTTGTTATATGGTTAAAAAAGTTTTATTTTATTTTATAACTCTTTCCTGTTTGTTTTCTATCAACCATCCGCCGTATAAATATATCATATTAGAAAACTTTTTTTTGTTTTTCTAAACCATTTAATATATATTAGTCAATAAAATTTTTTTATGTTTTATAACTCTAACTTTTTCCCAATTAATTTTATTATATTTTATTATATTATTAATTTTAATTTTGAATATATTATTTTTTACTATTGGTTATATCTATTAAATATTTAATGACATTTTATTTAAGAAATATAAATTTTAATAACAAAGTCGCGAGTTTCGCGTAACGGGTAGAGGCGATACCGTCGACGTATTGATTCCATGAAACAGGTATATTAACGTTTTATTACTAAATATTAATTAAAGATTACAATTTAGAAATTAAAATTTACAAATTTATTTATTGACAACATTTTATTAATATGTAATTTCACTATGTATTATAATAAATAAGATGTTATCTTTTTAAAATATTTTTAAGATTTATATATATTTTAATTGTTTAGAATAAAAAAAATAAAGTAACTTAATAAAGTAAATTATTGAATATAAAATAAAATAATGTATAAATCAAAAAAATAATAATATATAATTTGTTTGTTGAAAAAAAAATGTTATTTTTAATATAAATTGAGAAAGAAAATTAAAAAAAATCAATATAAACTAAAGAAAAAAAAAGAAAAAAGACATGGTATTACATGGTTCAATGGGGATTGAACTTCTAATTCATTACATTCTAGCTACAATGCATTTTTATTCCATACAATGTTATAGTACCACTTTTTAACCTATTAAACTCTTCATAAAACCCTTGTTGGGATGATCATACTTTAATACTTTATTATCATTTTTTATTTTAATATATATATATATATATATATATATATATAATATATATATATATATATATATATAAACATTTTTTATTTGGTATCGTACATTTTAAAATTCTCAATCATTAAAAAGAGACAATGTTGAAAATAATAATAATTACCATGTGTTTTATTTTATATATACAAAAAAATAAGTTTAGTTAAGAGTAAATTACACGAATGGTCCCTATGGTTTAGGGTAATTTGCGTGTTTAGTCCCTAACTTATTTTTTTAACTCGGAATGTCCATACTGTTTGTTTTTGTTACACGCTTGGTCCCTATTTTACCTAAAAAACTATTTTACCCTTGATTTTTTAAAATATAAAAATAAACACACCAACCTCAACCCCCTTCACCTTACTTACCAATCTTATAATTTTTCCTATTTAAATAATAGTCTTTTTAGGTAAGACAGGGACCAATCTCGTAACAAAAACAAACAGCATGGACCAAGCACGTAATAAAAAACAAACAGTAGGGACTTTCTGAATTAAAAAAATAAGTTAGGGACCAAACACACAAATTACCCCAAACCATAGGGACCATTCGTGTAATTTACTATTTAGTTAATAAAACAAATTAATAAACAAAACAGTAAAATAAAAACTAAAAAGTAACGCACAAATTACCCAAATCATAGGGACCATTCGTGTAATTTACTCTTTAGTTAATAAAACAAATTAATAAGCAAAACAGTAAAATAAAAACTAAAAAATGGAAATAAAAACTAAAAATGAAAAGTGAAAAACTAAAAAATGGAAATAAAAACTAAAAATGAAAAGTGAAAGGTAGATTTTGTTACTTTTTAATATAAAATAATGAGCATTAAATGAAAAGTGATAAAGTATATTAAAAACGAAATCCAACATCAATCATCTGCTGACAAATTCATTTGTGACGTTCGTGTATATAGAATTTTTTTCGTGCATTTATAACCTTGGTTTTTATGCTTGGTTTGATATTATTTTTGTACGGAGTATTTATAAACTCTTGTTTTATAAAGATCTTCATCTTTTATATTGTAGATATAAATTTATTATTTTTGATTATTTTTTTAGAAAAGGTTATAAATTTATATTATTGTTTCTGTTACTGATTAAAATTTAATTTATTATCGACATATAATAAACGAATACATAAATATATATTTTAAACATTTTTCATTGCTATTTAAAATTAATAACGACAATTTTTTTTGCTTTTTAGTTATAATACATAAAACAAATTTATTAAGACAAATTATTATAAGATTTTTAACAGATTATTCTTTTATTAAATTCTTTTAAATATACATACATAAATTTTATATAAAGTTTACTAAGCAATTTTTTTATCTTTTGTAATGTGAAGCCATATGTAAATACTATTAAACTGTTGAAAAACAATATGAAAAAGGTAATTAGTAAAAAAATATCATTACTTTTTATATATATTTAAAATTTAGTCAAAAAAAAATTAAAAGTAACTAAACAAAATTATTTAATTAATCAAATATAATCATTAGTTACTAAGCTAAAAACGATTTTAAAGATATTATCGTTGTTTATATTTAACAATTACATTTTAATAAGTTATAGAATTCATGCAAGTCTTCATTTTCACTAAACAGTCGATTATACATCAAACATAATATGATTATATTTTGTAAGATTTATGATTTTGTTTTCACAATTACTATAAAAATAATGTTTTTCATAAAAATGAAGAAATGATATGGAAAAAAATCTTTGATGATTCTGAAGCTCTATATTTGAAATTGGAAATTGTTTATAAATACATAGGTAAAAATTGTTTAATAGATTCAAAAGATAAAATGATTTCGAAAATCGAAACTTCATATTTTCATAAAAAAGTGGTTGATGTGTTTTACAAATTCCAACCACAATGAATAAATTAGAGAAAAACACTTCAGTAACTTTTATTAAATTACGTCGGTTTGATATTTATATTTTGAAGGAAACGATAATGTAATTTGATTGGTTGGGATTATATTTTAGTTTAGATTAGATTGAGATATATTTTAAATATCGAAATCAATTTGATAAGATTATATCAAAACGTCGTATTGAATAACGGAAACAACAAGATAACGTATAAAAAATGCACCGCATAGAAAGCTATAATTACTAAAAGAAGGTCACGAAACAAAACACACCTAAACCATAATCCACCACTTCACATGCAAAATGAATAAACGATGGTGTAAAATGTAACACAAGAACCCCGACATTTTTTTTTACCATTTTACCCTCTCTAACCCCTTATAAATACACCATTTCTCAACCCCACAAAACACCATTAATAGTTCAAAACACTTACAAGCATAAACCATTTCATTCCTCTCATACATACCACCCTCCAATGGCAATCTCCACTTCCCATTTTATGTATTTTGCTATTGTCGTTTGTTCATTAGCTGTAATCTTGGGTAACAATAACTCTGTCTCAGCTCAATGCCAAGGCGATGTGCAGGGTCTCATGGAGCAATGTGCTAGGTATGTACAAAAATCTGGCCCAAAGATTCAACCATCTGGTGGTTGCTGTGGTGTTGTGAAGAACGTAGATTTGTCATGCGTTTGCAACCATATCACAGTGGAAGTTGAGAGTGTTATCAGCATGGAGAAGGCTGCATTCATTGCTGAAGCTTGTGGAAAACCACTCGCCCATGGATCCCAATGTGGAAGTAAGATTTTCCTCCAACAGGTTTCAAGATACCATTAATTAACATGTTCGTTTATTAAGACTTGTTTTTTATTTGTGTTTGTTTTAGGCTATATTGTGCCATGAAGCTTGAAGTAGAAAAGGTGGTGGCATACATCATGCATGGTGGAAGAGTTTGAATGTTGGAGACGCAACACTTTCTAAGCTGGTTGCTTTTTGTACCAAATAAATAAAGTTATTATAATTATATGGTGCAATTTTAATAAGGCGTATGGATATGTTTGAGAAAATTTGAATTCCCAATTTATATTCTAATTCGTATGGTAAATATATAGATCGAAATAATCCATGGGAAAAATATTCATCATAATAGTTATAGATCAAAACAATCGATGACAAAAAATGTGGTGGAACATGCCATGTAGTATTTCGTTGAGAATTTTTTAAAAGCACATTGAATCAACAAAATAATTGTTGATAATAATGCTTTAAATTATTCATTTTTTCCAATAACTTCCTAAAAATCTTGACGAGTTTGATTCTTAATGATGTGTTTGAAATGGGGTGTGGATTATGCTTAACCAAAAAAGAACGTACCAACACAATTTCAAAATTGAGAAAAAGGTAAGTTACTAGGGTATTAAAACATTTGATATCAAAATTTAATTGATGTTCGAAAAATCGGGACTATATAAAAATATCAAATAAATAAATAAATAAACTCTTCTAAATTCTAATAGATATAGCCAAACAATCAACTTCAAATAAAACTTTTATAAACCTATAAAAAGTAGATCAAAGTCTTTGCTTCTCCGATTAAATGTGTTGTAAATGACAGAAGCCTATGGCCTTCAAGTTTTTGTCGGCTTTTGCTTTTTGCTAAATGTAATGGGTTGTCAAATAAATGCTTTTCAAGATATAATATAATATTTTATGATTAAATCATCATTTTATTCCCATTTTATTCATATTCTAGAATTATACCGATTTTCTTGTTAATAAAAATAATCTAAAGCAAATGAATTATTGTTATACCTTATTGATATGTTCCATAGTTGATTAATAGACTAATATCTTTTATTATAATTGACAATAATAAATATATATGTTTGGATTTTTTTAGACTTTTGGTTTCGGCTCCCTTACTTTTACTTGTCGTGTTCCACCAATTTACACAGCAAGTTCGTGTTAGTGAAAACGAGGAAAAAAGCTTCTGAATAATAAAGAGAGAAGATGTATTGTTTTATACCAATTATTTCTTCCTACCTTTGAAGAACAACGAATGAAAAGCCACAAAATAAGGGTGTTTATGGACGGTTAATTCAACTGAAATCGTATTTGGATGGTTAATCAAAACCAACAGATTACTAATATCTTAAATCTAAATCTAAACCTAAACTGAAAATATTAACCGGGTTTTTCAGTTTTGTTTTTTAGTTAACCAATTAACCGTTTACTAATTTTAAAATGTATTTCAAAATTAATTAACTTTAAAACTAATTTTCGAAATAATGATACTCTTTTAAGATCTTTTGTAAATATAAAACTTAAAAGCGATAGTATAAAAAAAAATTAACATAATATTCATTTATTTAGTTAAAAAGTAACAAACTAATTGATATTATGTTTAGCCTATTACGTATTCACTTCGACTGTGTTTTAACTTTTAAGACACAATTGTTAATAAATATAATAATAATAAATTTTTAATAATAAATTTTTAACTTTTAAGACACAATTGTTAATTGAAATTGCTAAGTTATAATAATAAATTTTTTTTCCCTGCCTAGTTGCTTAGGTAGGGCTCTTTCCTCTCTTTTTTCTTAGTAAAAATTTCCTTGTTCCCAAAAAAAATGTTATAATAATAAATTTAACATTAACAATTAAACTTCAAACTAAACAATATTTTTAAAATATAAAAATTTATGATTAAACATCCGTGCTAAAAATTTTGAACAGTAACAAAACCGAAAAATCAATATTTTTATTGTCTCAGTTAACCAAACCGAAAAAAAGTCAAAATAACAGATTTGATTAACTTGAAAATTAGTACGGTTGGTCAGGTTTTAGGTTCGATTTTTCTATTTCGGACATTCTTCAATACCCCTAAAAAAAGTTTAGTCATATTTACAATGGCAAAAATATTTCTTATATTATTTATATCATATTTTTACATCTTTTATATTAATCAAAATTTATGGAGCATTAGCATTTCCCATCATTAAAACACGCTTTCTTTTCTACGCATATAGTATAATTTTTTTTTTTGAACTACAAATTTAACATATTCTTGTACTACTCCTTAATCATGTCTCGGATGAGACTTGAAACCTCAACTTCAAAAAGAGAATGCAACCCCAGATACTGTTGGACTAAAAATAGTCGATAAAAAAGTGATGATTTTGCATATTTTTAATTATCATGACACTTTAGGATTTCGTTAATAATTTGTTAACAACATTAAACCAACAAAAATCATTTTTTTTAATAATTGATATTTTTTTTGTTCTGTAATACTTTCAAGTTTACTAGTTTCATTGCCACCATTTTAGAAATTAATTAAATTTATTTGAAATTATTCATTTTTTCTCGGTTATACAGTAAGTTCAAATTTGTTTGTTTGTTTGTTTTTTTTTTTTTTTTTGAAATTAAATATCCTGCTATTATTTATTCTATTTATCTTCTTATTCCTATACAACAATGATATGGGGCATCCATTAATTTTCTCTCTTAATCTTATTTTTAATATTTTCAAAATTTTTGGAGATGATTCAGTATTATTATTATTTTTTTTCCTACGTTATATATTTCTTTTTTCATTATTTCTATTTCATTTCTATTGTATTTTTCTGTCAATCCTATGTTTCATTTCTTCTTCTATCATCTTGTGTGTGAATAATTTGTCTAACTTGTAAATCAAATTTGACTAAGTGATTCATAAATATCTAATTATTGATTATGAAATCATTTTCTGTATGAGATTTATTTGATTTACATATTTCTTTCGGTATAATTAATAGAATTTTATTTCCGCTTAAAAGTTCTTTTATTATTTTTTTTATAAAGAAAATTGCTTTTTTTTAACTGCAACAATTGTATTGTATGCGTTCAAGTTTTTTAAGAAATAAAGGGTGAGGAGTTTTATTGTGTATATTCCAAATATTTTCTTCCGGTTTAAGAGCAACAAATGTAAAGCGAGAGTATTTTGGTCATATTGTAGTCCAAAAGGCTTTTATCCGTTTTTAGAATTATCCCAAAAAAAATCAATGTTTAGAAAGGATAAGCATTTCGTATTAATAAAGTAAATGTACCTTTTTTTTTAATATGTTACCAATGACTTTAATATGTTACAAAACTAAAAGTAACTCGGTTGGATACACCCTTCCTATTAAAAAAAATTGTACTATCGGTATTAGAGACATGGTGAGCATCATCAATTGGACCAAATCTCGTTTTCATTACTGCTTCAGGTAGTAGTTGTCATTTAATCTTGCAAAGCTATTGTAGTTTTATAGAAACACTACATTGACTTAATGAAACAAAGTATCATATCAAAAGAATACACAATTAATGTGCTCCATTAGTCTTATTCAATGTATGTATTCTTTGAACCAAATACAATTTTCAATATTAAAACATAATAATTAACTAGTAATTGAGTTTGTGCTTTGCCAAATAGTTTTATGTGTTTTTGTTGTCTAATATGAGTCAAAATTTATTAAACCAATAACATATCACACTTTGTGGCATCATCATACGTATAAGATAATTTGTCCGGTCACTCGTTGCGGCGGCGATAATGCATTTGAGGAATTCATACATAGGAAGCGTGTATATTTTAATTAATAAACGAAAGTGGGATAAAGTCGAAAGTTTAGTGTTTTCTTAAAAGAATACATTGAATTAATGTGCTCCATTACTATTATGAGAAATGTTTTCTCAAAACAATAAGAACACATTTATTTGTAATCGGAGTTTATTTGTACATGTACAATAACTTTTTTTCATACATTAAAAATTATGTTTTAAAATGTTACTTTGTACAACTCTATAAAACATAAATTGTTATGTATGAAAATAAAATTTTTGTTCGAATCACTTACATCCACAATTAGACATTTTAAAAAGCAGTTTTGGAGTGAATCTGTTTTGCTCCAAACCCTATCAATAAATTTGAAAACATGATTCGTTCCGCTCCAATAATTATGAGTTTGGAATAATTGAATCCATACGCGTAACGCCCGAAATATTAAGAAGGATTGTTGGGAATAAGCCTAATTCGAGATCAACACGGTGTGTTGGAGGAACCAACTCGACGTGTTTAGGATGAAAGAATCGCGGGGATTAAATGAACCAACAGGGTGTGTTGAGGTGTCTCAACTCAGCATGTTGGCGGCTGGGAAGAAAACCCTAATTTTTAGGGTGTTGCACCATATTTAAAGGCCTTAAGTTCCTTTGGCTAGCCTCCTTATCAGTCTCTTTTGTTATCAAAACCCTAAATCGAGTTGTAGCCTCCATTGTCAAGCATTTGAGCCTTGGAAGAAAGTTTGGTGTTCATTTTGTGCATTGTGAAGGAGTTAGAAGATCTTGAAGTTCTAAGCTTGGAGAAAGAAGTCTTGGATCCAGAACCACTACCCATTTTGCAAGGAGTTTGAGGTATCAAGTTCGTATCTTGATGGCTAGATGCTTAAATATCTCTTTTAGTTTAAATGGCTATGCTTTAGCCATGGGTTGGGTGGATGTTGGGATTAGGACGTCCCAAAGCATTATTCTTTCAGATATGGGGTTGTCATGGACTCTTTTGGCATAAAGGTGCCAACTTTATGGATTTAAGGACTTCATGTATGCATTAAGTCCCTTATTAAGCCCTTCTTGACCTTTTGAGCTTCTCCTAAACATGCATGAATGGAAAGTTGGCAACTTTCCGTGGTCTTCCAGTTCTAGGGTGTCAGATCTTCATTTCGGGGCTTTATCTTTGTAGATTAAGTGCTTAATGGTTAAGCCCTCACTCTTTTAAGTCTAGGGTTTGGGTTTGGACCCATTTCGGTGGTTCCTAGGGGTAAAGTTGGAAACTTTACCCTTCTAAATCTCATTTTGTTTGAGATCTAAGCTTTGGAACTCTTGGA